CTGGTGTTCTTGACAGCTGAACATGCCTCTCTGCCCCACCTTGCTTGAAGCTGTGATAGACACAGTTGTGACCAGCCTCCTACTCCTGTGAGAGGCAACCTGTGGGTATGAGTTTTTGTGTCCTGATTCTCAGCTTTAGTTTGTTTTCATGTTTTCAGTGCTTTCCTCCAAGAGACTCATGGAAAATGGAAAGGGATGCATCTGAAGTGTGTGGGTGCTTTTCATGAACATGAAAACTTCAGCTTTTTCATTCATAGGGTCAGAGAATCTGCTCAGAGGTCATCTAGGCCAACCTGTCCCTAAAGACCAGTCCCTTGTTCAACCTCCTCAGCAAGAGGTCATCTAACTTCTGCCCTAAGACTTTCAGAGAGGAGGAGCTCATGACCTACCCTAAGGCAGCTTACTTTGTTTTTAGATAGCCCTAATTGTTAGAAAGTCATTCCTTTTATTGAGATGAAATCTGTCTCTTTGGTCCTAATTTTGCCTATTAATACAGCCCAAGAGTCCATTAACTTTTTTTGGCTATCATGACTCTACCTCCAGATCTTTTCCACATAAACTGCTTGTCTAGCCTGCTTCCTTATCCCAAACCTTATGCAGATTTTTTTTTGACCCCTATTAGGGGACTTTACACTTATTCCCATTAAATTCTACCTCTAGTAAGACAGCCTAAGCCTGCATTAGCATTTTCTTGACCAAAGAGACTAGGACCAACCCTCTGTAAAATTGTGAAAACGAGGCTTGTCTTCACTTGTAATCTGTGCTCTTTTTCTTCTTTAGTGATCGATGCTCCTCCCCTGGCTGGTTCCCAGGGCCCTTGGAATCTTTCATTTCTCTCCTTTCTTCTTCCCTCTATCCAGACCATTCCTCAGTTCTATCACGTACACTGAAGCCTAACAGAGTGACCAGAGAATAATGTTAGGACCACTGGGTTTAGAACTGGAAGGGACCTTAGAATATAGTGGTTAGATCTCTGACTTTGGAACCAAGAATGCTGAGTTCAAGCCTTGTCCCAGACACAAGGTGACTTAGTCAATCAACATTTTAAAGCACCTACGATACGCTGGGCATTGTGCTAAGTGCTGGGGATTCAAAGAAAGGCAAAAGACAGTTCCTGCCCTCAAGGAGCTAAAAATCTAGTAGGGGAGACAGCAAGCAGAGAGCCATGTACAATCAACATATGTACAGAATGAATTGGAGATAATCAACAGAGAGAAAGCACTAGAATGAAGGGGGATTGGGAAAGGCTTCTTGTGCAAGGTGAGATTTTAGCTGGGACTTGAAGGAAGCCAGGGAAGCCAGGAGATGGGGAAGGGAGAGTGTTCTAGACATGGGGGACAGGCAGTGAAAATGCCTGGAGCCAAAAGATGGTGTGTCTTGTTTGAGAAACAGCATGGAGGCCAGCGTTACTGAGTACATGGTGGGGATAACAAGACTGGCACTAATTACCTGGCAGAATAGATGTGTGGAAAATGCTTTGCCAACCTCAAAGCACAATCTGCAAATGAGTTATTCTTATTTAGTTCATTCCCTTTCATTTTACAAATGAACTGAGGTCCAGAGATGAAATGATCTGCCCAAAGGTTTTCTAACTCTATACCTTTCTACTGTTTCCAGTGCATTGTATTTCTCTCTGGGTTATTTCTTTTCTTTTTCTTTTTTTTTTCTTTTTAAATAACAATAGCTGCCATTTGTATAATGCAGTAATTCTTAATCTCTTTTGTGTAATGGACCCCTTTGGCAGCCTAGTGAAGCCTGTGGACCCTTCATCAGAATAATATTTTTAAATGTGTAAAATAAAAATACATAGGATTACAAATAAAATAATTATGTTGGAATACAGTTATCAAAATATTTTTGTTTTTAGAAACCAGTTCACAGATCGCAGGTAAAGAACTCTTAATATAATGCTTGAAGGTTTCCAGAATGCTTTACATAATTATTTCATTTGATCCTTACAATAACTCCTGTGAAATTGTTATGCCCAGTTCTGCCATTATTATCGCCATTTTACAGCTGAGAAAACTAAGGCTACAGGTCCCTTGGCTAGTAAGTGACTGAAGCGGGATTCAAATTCAGGTTCTCTTGATTCCAAGTCTAAGATAGCACTCTACTCTATCCACTGTGTGGCTGCCTCCTTTCAACTGGGATCAAAGTCTTAAGCCAAAGAGATGTTGCTCTAAAGGTAGACTTTGGGGCAGCTAGGTGGCACAATGGATGGGGCACTGGCCCTGAAGTCAGCAGGACTTGAGTTCAAATCCGACCTCAGATCAAATACTTGACACTTACTAGCTGTATGACCCTGGGCAAGTCACTTAACCCCAATTGCCTGAAAAAAAAATAAAGGTAGACTTCCATGCCAATAGGTGGAGGAGGATATTTTTAATTTGGGGGTGGTGTGGTGGCAGTGGTGAATCAAGACCCTCCCAGCTCCCTGAAATCATTCTACAGATGTAGTCACTTACTCCACCTAAGGGTGAGGTGGCCTTGATGGGCATGACCCTCCCACCCTTTGCCCCACTTGGTCCCCTTGTGGCAGGTCTGGGAAACCCTTATTGCCCATTTGGAGGGTCAGCCCCGGACACCAGGCCACAGTGGATGTTCTGGCACAGGGGTATCTGCCAGGGAAGGGGGAGGAGAGATTGTCCCTGTCCACCCTCTGGATAGGCCAGGCTGATGCCAGGGCTGGTGACTCATCTCCCTGGGAAATTCCACCTGTCACAGAGCAAAGCCTAGCTTGGCTTGGTCCCAGAGCTTGCTGGTGGCCTGAGAAGCTGCCAGGCAAGGATGGAGCCCAACCATCCTTTTAGTTCCTGTCAATTCCGTGGAAGAGAAATGCTAGACCCTGACCTACCCCGGAGGCCTGTGTTAAGGTATGGATAATAATAACAGTCACTACAGTTCCTTCCATTTATATGGTGCTTTAAGGTTTATGAAGTGATTTCATAGACACCATTCTTCACTGTGAAGTAGGAGGGCAGCTATTACCCCCTTTTTATAGATAAAGACAATGAAGTTTAGGGAGGATCAGTGATTTACTCATAATCAAACAGCTAGTAAGTGTGGGAGCCAAGGCTTGGACCCAGGATTTGGGATTCCAACCCCAGTGGTCTTTTCACTATTCCTCACTTCCTCTTGAGATAACTGGATATTGAGGCATGGGTTTTAATGTTGTCAGAATAAAGGATTGGGAGTAATACCAGGGATTCCTCTGCATCTTTCCCTGAGTTTTGGCCCTACTTTGGTTTCAGAGTTTGGGGCATTCTTCAGGCAACTGAAATCAGAGAATAGATTCAGGGCAATTAGCCCAGGGTCAATCATCAATCAATAAACATTTATTAAGTGCCTATGATGTGCCAGGCATTGTGCTAAGCTATGGAAGTACAAAAGAGGCAAAAAACAGTCCCTGCCTTCAAAGAGCTTACAATCTAACGGGGGAGACAGCATGCAAATACATGTATCCAAGCAAGCTATGTACAGGATAAATGGGAAATAATTAACAGAGGGAAGGCACTAGAATTAAATAGGGTTGGGGAAGGAATTTTAGTTGGAACTTTAAGGAAGGCAGAGAGGTCAGTATGCAAGGCTGAGGAGAGCTAGTGTTCCAGGAAAGGAGGTTACATTTCATAGGCTCCTAGGACTTATAGCCTGAAAGGCCCTTGGAGATCACCTAGCTCAGTTGATCATAACCCCTTTGGCAGTCTGGTGGAGCCTCTAGACCCCTTCTCAGAAAAATATTTTTAAATGCATAAAATGAAATACATAGGGTTATAAAGGAAACCAGTGATATTGAAATAAGGTTATCAAACTATTTAAAAACCAAATTCACAGATCTCCAGAAATCTGTCCAAAGACCCTATGGGACTTTATGAACCCCAGGTTAAGAACCTTAGTCTCCTTATTTTATAGAGGAGTAAACTAAGGCTCAGAGAAGTTGATTAACTTACCCAAGGTCACACAGCAAGTGACAAAGATGAGATTTGGCCCAGATCAGTTTCCAAGCTCTACTATCAGAACACATCACCACCAACAGAAGTGGGGTTGCAGTGGGAGATAGTGAGGAAGGGTGCACAAAGAGTACCAGAGCTAGCAGCATGCATGACTGGTCCCCTCCCTGGGAAGGATGATATGTCTGTGCTATGGCACAAGTCAGGCAGTGCAGAGGGAATAGAGTGACCCTCTCTTTGGGGGTGGGGGTGGCTCTCTCCAGGGAACTGGATTCCTGGCCTGACCCCAGACGCTGAGCTGCCTAGTTCCTCTCCTTGGTAGCACTAGGCTGCACACACAGCCCCATTGTGTGCCTGGGCCCTCTGCCCGCTGCCGGGGCTGGCACTCAGTCACATCAGCAGCAGCAGCCACTTGGCCACTTCCCCACCCCCTCACCTCCCACCCTGCAGAGAGGCAGAACCCTCCGGTCTACCACAATGGAGGGAGCTAGGGTGGGAGGGATGAGCTGACTGGAAAGGCTAGCCAGAAAGCCGTACAGACTAAAGATGCTAAAACCTGTCTGTCCTCCTTTGCTGTGCCTTGGGGACCTGGGGGAAATTGCCAGGAGATACCCAGAGCCATGAGGGGCTTGGAATTCTGGGAGAATGAGGGCAAGGCTATCTCCAGGCAGGGTAGTGTGTGAGTCCTGAGTTCTTACATGTCTGCTGTGCCTCAGTTTCTCTTGATGCACAGTATCTCTAGTACCCCTCCTTCTACTCTCTAGAGGCTTTAAAAAAAAAAAAGCCCGGAGACTTCATGTCTCATGGAGTGTTAGAGGTGGCAATGAGCTTGCCTCATTCTCATGAAGAAAACGAGGCAGAGTAGAGGGGAAACAACTTGCCCAAGGTCACACAGTGCCTGAGCGGCCTAGCCAGGGCTAGAACCTAAGCTTGCTGATCCCCCAGGTCTGGGCCCTGTACGCTGACCCAAGCTGCCTCTCCCTCCAGAGGAATTCAGAATCTCTCGATATGTACTCCAGGCAAAACCGGGGGCATCTGAGGATAGGGCCCAACCTGCAGCTCCCGAGAGGCCCTGGCTGCTGAGCTCAGGGCCTCCAGGGCATGGACGCTGCCTAGTTGGTTCATCTTCTGCTCCAGGTGCCAGGCTGTGGGGAGCAGCTTTAAGAAATAACCCATCTGGGAATCTCTGCCTGTCCCAGTTCATTCTGAGAGGCACCAGGGTATGCTGACCTTGGAGTGCTAGAGCACAAGGAGGACATGAGTTAAAATTCTGCCTCTAACACTAGCTGGGGGACCCTGGGTAAGTCACTTAACTGAGCCTCAGTTTCCAGTAAAATGGAAATAATAACAGCATCTCCCTCATAGGGTTGTAGTGAGGTTCCAGTAAGACTAAGTATATAAAATGCTTTGCAAACTATAAACCCCATATCTGTCTTTCAATCAACAAGCATTTATTATGCATCTGTTGTATGCCAGACACCCAGTTAGGTGCTGGGGATACAGATACAAAGGGGAGACACCCTTCAAGAAATTTACATTCTACTTGGGGGTGACATGTTCAGAGGTTACTAAAAATAACAATAATAATTTTACTGCTTTCTTCATAGGGCTGTCCTAAGAGTCGAACGAGAGGGATATAATTATGAAGTATTTTGTAACCATGATGGAGTCAATCAGTGTGAATTGGTATTATAGCAGAGTCGTAACTGGCATGGGGCAAACAGGACTTTGGCCCAAGGTGCCAGCACAGTGAGCGGACAGCTCCTCCCCGGCAGGGCCTCCCTTCAGTGATTTCTATTCCCCCGTGTATTACCTCCATGGCCTCCGCCTGGTAGCACATTCGCCACCCCTCAGCAGACATCAGTCAGATGTAAAGTAAGAGTCTTGGACTTGGAGTGAGAAAGACTCTGAGCTCAAAACCTGCCTCAAACATTTATTAGTTGTGTGACTCTGGACAAATGACTTGATCTCTCTCAGTCTATTTCCTCATCCATAAAATGGGGATAATAATACTACCTACTTCCCAAGATTGTTGTAAAGATCAAATCAGATAACACATAGAAAGACATGAGTTCATATTCTGACTAAGATCCATATTAGGCAGCTGGGTATCTCAGTGGATAGAAAGCTGGGCCTGGAGTCAGGAAGACCTGAGTTTAAATCTGGCCTCAGACACGTACTAGCTGTGTGACCCTGGGCAAGTCACTTAACCTATGCCTCCATTTCCTTCAGTGTATAATGGGGATAATAACAGCACCTACCTTGAAGAGTTGTGGGGAATAAATGAGATAATGTTTATAAAGAGCTTAGCACAGTCCCTGGCACATAGTAGGTGCTATATATAAAAGCACATTCCTTTTCTTCTAGTAGCCGTCCTGCACAGATCATTCACAAAACACAAGTACAAAGCTACTATGTGGAGAAATCTCAGCATGTTTGCTCTTTTTGTCTCTGTGTCTGTCTCTCTGGTTTTGTTTTGTTTTGTATTTGTACTGTTCCTGTGATTCCACAGATGTGGGGAGCTGGAGGGGAGGGATGTTGGGACTTCTACCAAGGTCGATATGAACTTTCTCTGAAAGTTTGTCTTAGAGTGTTGCCTGGGAGAACAGCGAGGTTAAGTCACTTGGCTCACACAGAGATCATGCATCAGGACACTTGAACCCAGACCTTCCTGACCCCAAGCCCAGCTCTTCATCCATCATACCCTGATGTTTCTCAGTAACAAACTAAAAAGAGGCCCGTAATTTAGAGATACACAGCTTAGTTATTGAATTCAGCTTGACTAAGCCTGTCACAATTTTTAAAAAAAACATTTATTTATGCCTGTATTTTCAAAACACTTTGTTAGATGCTTGCTTCCTAGCGCTAGCTTCCTTCCAACCTTAAGGAATATTTTCCCTTTCTTTTGGAGGCAAACAGTGTTAAGTGACTTGCCTAGGCTCACACAGCTAGTAAGTGTCTGTGGCTGGATTTGAACTCAGGTCCTCCAGATTCCAGGACTGGTGCTCTATCCACTGATCCACCTAGCCATCCCATTTTTCCATTCTTAAAGAGAATATCTTCCTGCCTTAAGGTTGAAACTGCCCAAATATACTAGTTTCTTCCTCATTTTCTGTTTGGAGAAATTCTCCCCTTCTCCCCCCCCCCCCCATCTCTTTGTGGTTACTCCTTGCAGTGCCTACAACCTGGGTGTCCCTTACAGTTCTAAAACCAAGGCCACCAGCTGTCCATCCTGGGCCATCCCATCATCTTGATCCTTGTCTTGCCACTGGGCTTTGATGACTGGAGGAGAGAGTGAGGCTGACGACTTTGGGCAGCCCTGCCTCACTTAAATCCAATTCACTTGCAAGTCTAGACATCACCCTCCTGATGTCATTGATCCTGTTCAAAATTCACTGACTCTGTGATTCCCTTGTACTTTATGATCCCCCTTTTCTTTCTCACCATTCTTGTTGATTTCTCCCTCTAGGCCTTCAAGTGAGTATTCACACTTAGTTTTCTGTTTGTCAGAGGCAGCTAGGTGGCATACTATATACAGTGGGGAGCTTGGAGTCAAGAAGACCTGAGTTCAAATCCAGCCTCGGGTACTTACTAGCTGTGTGAGCCTAGGCAAGTCACTTAACACTGTTTGCCTCCAAAAGAAAGGGAAAATATTCCTTAAGGCTGGAAGGAAGCTAGCTCTGGGAAGCAAGCATCTAACAAAGTGTTTTGAAAATACAGGCATAAATAAATGTTTTTTTTTTAATTGTGACAGGCTGTCAAGCTGAATTCAATAACTAAGCTGTGCATCTCTAAATTACAGGCCTCTTTTTAGCAAGTCACATAACCTCTGTTTGCCTCAGTTTCCTCACCTATAAAATGGTGGAAAAATAACAGTACCTGTTATTGTAAGGATCAAATAAGATATTTGTGAAGCACTTAGTATAGTGCATAGAGCTATACCATAGTAGGTGTGCACCTCTCAGATGTAATATTGTGTTTTTGGGTTCTCTCTGTTTGTGTCTTATTCCCCCCACTATGGGGGTAGTGGATAAGCTCTGTGGGGATAGGAATTCTGTTTATCAAAACTTTGTATCTTCCTAAATGCTTAGCATTAGTGACAGGCATGACACCTGCCCACAGCCATGGCCTGACACCCGTTAAATGAATGAGTGAGTGAAAAAGGCTCTTCTTATTCAGTCCTGGAATAATCTTTTTAAGGTCCTCCTTTGTGTTGGGTACACCTACAATAGTTAGGGTGTAATTCAGGGACTGCGTATATTTCTTTGGATCATAAATTTAGAGCTAGAAGGGACCTTATCTGTTGAGTAAGTGAGGAAATTGAGGCCTAGAAAGTACAGTGACTTGCCCAAGGTCATACAGGTAGTAAGTGACAAAGGTGGGATTTGTACCCAGGTCCTTGCATTTTGAATCACTATGCTTTCCATTGTACCAAATAGACATCTTCTTGTATTCCCTATGAAGGTGAGAGATTTCCTCAGCACTTGGGGAATTCTAGACAGGCAGCTTCTCTCCATCCCCGTGAGTTCATTGTCAGCACAGTGGATTTAGAATTCAAATCTTGCCTTAGATGCTGCCTGTGTGACCCAGGGCAAGTGACTTAACCTCTTTCAGCCTCAGTTTCCTTATCTATAAAATGGGGATGGGGAATAGAAAATATATGTGTGTAGAGAGAGAACATATATGTACGTATAGAACATATATAGATATATACATGTGGAACACACACACATATGTATATAAATAATTAGGGGAGAAATTCTAAAAACTGTGGGTAGGAAGAGAAGCTTTTTTAAACCTCAGTGCCACTGCTTAGACAGTTCCCTAAGTCTAGAATGCTTGCCCACCTTCACTAGCTGAAACATTTTCCATTTTTTTTTTTTTTGCTAGGCAATGGGGTTAAAGGACTTGCCCAGGGTCACACAGCTAGTAAATGAATAAATGTCAAGTGTCTGAGCCTGGGTTTGAACTCAGGTCCTTCCTGATTCCAGGGCCGGTTCTCTGTCCATTGTGTTACCTAGCTGCCCTAACATTTTCCATTCTTACATATGTCAAATGTCACCTCCTTCAAGATGCCTTCCTAAGATCCTCCAACCAAAAAAGACCTTTTTCTCCTCCAAACTCTCAAAGCACTTAGGCACTGTGCCATACAGTTCTTTGCACTTAGTAGGCATTTAATTAACATTTGGTGTTTAAGTAATATGCTTGTTGGCCTCACCTCAGAGGGTTTTTCTGAGGACCAAATGAGATAATATATGTAGAAACCTTTGTAAAACTTAAAGGATTTTGCCCTGAAACCCACTTAACCTGTCTTCTTGAGTTGCCATATTTTCCAGAAGCAGTGGACCAGTAGTATGCAAGAGGCCCTGAACCAGTACTATATAAAGGTTAACTATTTTTATTGCTATCTTGATTAAATTCATCAACCTCTAAGGGCTTCATCTCCCTCCTCTTCCTTCTCTCTTCCCCCCTACCCCCTACCTTCCATCCTAGTTAGTGGAAACAGTTGTGGAAGTAGCCATTTGGGATTTGTGGGGGATTGGAGAGAGGTAAATGGGAGGAGGGTCTAGGCCCTGATTTCAGAGTTTACTCAGAAAAACTCCAAGGCAGGCATTAGGGCATCCAATACCCCATTTTCTTTTTGTTCAGTTTTCCTCTTGATCTCTGCATTCCAGAACTAAGGTTGGCACAGGGTGAGAGGCAGTGAATTATTCCCACATCTGAGTTGTGGTCTTGTCACCTTTCACAACCTTCATTAATTGTTGAGATTCCTACCTTCATTGACTAAAGGCCTATGACTCACCCAGACTTAACATGGCAATTAGTGGCAAAGTGAAGAGGAATTCCCATCTCCTAACATTTCTCCATTCTTTAAATAATTCCCTCCCACGTAGAATGAAACATTGCTTCAATGAATACATTCAACATTTGTCAAGCATGTTATATGCAATACAAAATAGCAGCATGATATTTATTCATTCACTCATCCAACAAATATTAATTAAATGCCCACTATGTTCCTAAGAGCTTTGAGAGTTTGGAGGAGGAAAAGGCCATTTTTAGTTGGAGGATCTGGGAAGGCATCATGGAGGAGGTGACATCTGAGCAGGATATTTAAGAATGAGTAACATTTCATCTAGTGAAAGTAGGCAGGCATTCTAGACTCAGGGAGTGAT